TCTCTCTCTCTCTCTCTCTCTCTCTCTCTCTCTCTCTCTCTCTCTCTCTCTCTCTCTCTCTCTCTCTCTCTCTTTCTCTCTCTCACGACCTATATACATTGACTGTGCATTTGCTTGCCATTTATGGACGTAAATACTAAGACCTTCGCCTGGATTTCATTGCTTCACAGTTCACTGTCACACATTAATAGAACATTCACAAGGTCGTCTTTGCATCGTCGCAGATTTAATTATGATTATTATAAAAATTTTTACATTGTTATATTATACGTCAAAACATGTTCCTATCGTGTAATTTACTCCTGTCGTAAATTATTAATGCACACAATTGTGCTTGAAGGCCGCTGCATCTCGTTAATATTTCCGAAATACGATACGTACAAATACATACAATGTACGTACATGTTTACATATATACACATATATATGTATATGTTTGCGTGTGCTATATGTAATATGTAAATAGATTTGGATCAAACAATCGCAGTAGCATCGTCATCTTATCGGCATAAATGGATTACGTTACTCAATCGGGATAACGAACAGATTAATCTCATTGATTGCTCGATTCATTATCCGGTGTTAATCGCAATTTGAGATTGACATTACGTGAGGTCATTATATTCGCATTGGTATGAACTGCACATGCTTCAGCAGAATATCGTGCGAACTGTTATTAATTAAGTGCATAAACAATTTACGTGTTCACGATTAGTAAAAGGTGGCATTGTAATTGTGAATACACCGCCGCTGATTATAGAAAAGTAACACTGACGTATTGCAGCAAGTAAAATTCTGTAGGAGATTTATTCGCGTCACTTTTATTGCGTAAAATGCTTATTAAAAATTCTTTAAACAAAGCGCTGTCCCAACATGTCACCATGATTGCACTGTAACACCAGCAGACTAAAATTTCATTATAATGTATAAAATTATATGGATCAAATGTACTGGATCAGTTTATCAGAAATTATTGTTTTCAATTGAACCACAATTTTATATTAATTTTCATATCATTCTTATATCGTTGCAATGTTTCAGGGCCGACATAGAATATTCGACAAATTCATCGAAAACATATCTAAAGATACCCGAAGTTCAGCTGGAAGACGGAGGCCTCTACAGATGCGAAGCTACATACTTAGCGGTCAAGCGAGAGTGCAACAATGTACAACTCATTTTTCTTAACGTCACAAGTAAGTTGCATTACATTATATGTGCATGTTATTAAGTAGATTAATATTTTTTTCAAATTTAATTTAATTCATATAAATTAATACCGAAAAATTTAGTAAGTAAAGCTATTTTAAGAACTTATTAAGAACTTTATTGAGAGCTATTTGTAATATTGCAAATTAATTAATCGATTGTATGCAATTCTTTTAGTCTCATAAATTGTTTGCTATATAATTTTTCTAGTACATATATTTATATTTCAAAAACTACAAGGCCCTAAAATACATACACATTTTATTTTATATTAAGCATAAAGAGAAATATGCTCATTTTTATTTTTATCGCATCATACTGTTATATTTTATCGCGCTATTATAATTTTAACATAATATTTCTCAAAAGTAGCGCTATGTGACACAATCTACTTATATCCCTGCCGTTTTGTATGATATATGAAAACATATTTACGATGCCCGTACTGCACGCGAAAGAGTGAAAATGGCATGTGTAAATCGGAACACAGCCCGAGACTCGCATTCCATAAATCAGGCAATGTTTATTTCAAACTAACGGTTACACGTGATCGTTCTCGCCAATATTTCAATTTTGCACGATACGCGACTGAACGATAGACAACTGGTTACAGATGGTCCTTTTACGAGATTGGCAAGCAGTGATGCGTTTCGCTTCAAAATATTTTCATATTTTGAAAATAGGAATCTCATTTACATACTTGGCGATCAATTACAAAACACTCAACGCCCATAACTTCCACAATAGAAGGTTTTCGCATCGCACATCAATGTATTTAGGAGTGAGATTTATTGCAGACCAAAATATTACGATACTTTTTAAATGCCATAAAATTTCAATTTTAATAACTTTAATAGCGCTTTTATTTAAAATAACGTTACTCGAAATATTTCATCGATCGTAAAACTACGCGTTTTGAATTCTCAGAATATCTTCGTCTACAGTTTGACTCTTCTTTGAAGAGTCGAAGTTTCAAATGTTTTCATATGCTTATCTATGCTAAGTCAGTTCGTAACTATATGAAATCAATTGTAGAAGAACCTACTTCATCGTGCACGAGTTAATTTTCGCGGAAGTTGAATAACCGCGAACTGTGATCTAGGTTAAACTTATGTCAAATTACATATCGATAACTCGGGTTGGGATCGAATGGATCTTAACTTTCCAAAGACCAGGCAGTGTCGACAAGTTGAGCTCAAGTTAGATTCTCATAGGTGCTATACATCACGTGCACCGAATAAACGAGTAATTCTCCGGTAACTCTTGATTTGAGGTTTATGTCAATTCTACAGGTCATTTGAGTCGCGTTATATAAGTAAATCCACTTAACAACTAAATGGCATAATTACCGCGCGATATTATTTAACTGGGTTGGTGTTTTATCATCTCTGATATTGTGGTTTATTCAAGCTACGCTCGTTAATTTATCTTGCATTAAGTCTATACACGGAATCTTTGGAAATTAAGGATGTTTTGGAAGATGTGCAATTACGAAAGGTTCAAAAATTTATTATATATACAACATGCATATTTTAAAGGACGTCACAGTCGGAAAGGTACATTGGCTTCTAATTATCTTGCACGGAATTATGATTTAATTGCGCTATTAAATTGCGTAATTGCTCCAAATTTATCACAGAAAACATTTATTTTCTACCAACCGCAGATTTTTTGTCAGATGCACCATCTATTTAAGTGTTGTATCTACATTATCGCGAGTTATCTTTGTAAGTTCGTGAAGAATGAGACAATTCCCCTGGAGCAGTTTATTCAGTAAACGTAGCGATTTTCTGAGCGCATGTACGCGAGCCATCATCGCGGCGGACGTGAATAGAATCACTGTGTATATGAAATTCCGGCTGCTGATCTGTCTTCCTCGCTGTCGCGCACCGTACCTCGCGATATCACGGCGAGTTAAACGAGCAGGGTGGAGAAGTTTTCAAGTACAATCGCGACCTACACACGCACATAAGCGGTGTTCAGAAACTTTTGTCTCTCGTAATGGACGATCATATTCTTCTTAAAGTTTCAAGTCGGAACTGCTTTGACAGAAATTAATTTTAAAGTCTAGTTAAAAGGTGGGGTCTTTATCATATTCAATCATATTCAAAAATTTTTAACTGAATAAAGTGGATAAAATAAAAAAAATAAGAAAAACAAGATTACATGATTATAAACAATCGAATAAAGACATTCCGTATGATTCCAATTCTCCAATTTTTGCAGTTTTGGTTGCAAAACCGATTGAAACATGAGTAGAACACGAAAGAAGCTTGGGAGATGTTGCTCCTGACGCATAAGTGATCGCGACCTCAATTTGTCGAACTTAAACCGCTGCCTTGCGAATTTATATAACGGGCTGCTCTTCTGGAAGGCAGAACGTGTCTTGAATTCCGAAAAACGAAACATCATCGTGTTTGGTTATTTTATGGTAGACAACGCCATTTCTATAAATGAAAATTGTTCGGAAATTTCAAATATCACGTACTCAAAATAGTTTTTAGAATTTGAGTGCTTTTTAAATTCATACTTACAACTTTAGAAAAAATGGCAGTAGCTTCAATGTTAGGCGTTACTTTTAAAAAACATTACGTCTTAATTAGTAAAAGATACTCTTGTGAGAATATAGCTCAATGAAAAACATATATCAAAATTATAAATTTATAATAATCAATATAATTTTTATTAATAAGCAGCAACTTTTTTTTGTCAGCATTTATAATCCATTTGAACTTTGAAACACAATAAATTGAATTAAATAAAATTGAAAAACAATAGAAGCAACAATACGAAAAATAAAAGTGCTTATTAAAAGAAATTACACAGCAGAATCTCCTGATCTAGAAGATCAGTCTTAATTTTCAAGATTGATATTTACGAGCGACTAAACAGCACCAATTTCGATAAAAGACAGGATATATGTCGCACCCATTATACCGCAGCGAGGTAAAGCGACGACGTAAAAGTAGCTTGCGAGCTCTCCTGCGACAGGCGTCGACATTAATCTACATAGAAGAGCACAGCACGAAGCTGCGCACGAAACGATATCGCGTATCACACCCGTACCTGTATTTTAGCTCACGTACACACACGGCATCGGATTATCCGAGCATGTCATTCTAACTAGGACATCACGGTGTAGATTTATCGTCAAATAAATAATATTAACAGGAAAATGAAACAGAACCGGAAGAAAAGTAATAGCGACTTTCGGACTCAATACTTTTTATCATAAAGACGGAGATTGTGATATTTTTACTTTACTTCATTGTATTTCTCCGTGTGATAAGATTAGATGGTAAAATTCAAAAATGTACATCATGCTGAAACAATTGTCCTCAAAATTATTACACTCTGCTACTCTATTATACTATTATTCTATTATGCTACTACTGCACTATTATAAAAATTTTTGTACATTTTTTACACTCGAGTACACACCAAGAATGTTAGTTATGCGTTATAATGCTCTTTTGTTCGGCGGCTCATTTACTAGATTGTGTCATTACAAACTCAGATAAAGCTCTGCAAAATAGCTGCAGGTACACGCCATAGGATTTTAACACACCGACGTTGCACGAATGCGCTTTCGTACTGAGATTAGACAGCGAGCTGAGGTATATGGTATATAGAGCCTTCTTTCGTTCCGTACGTGCTTCGCTTTGCGAAGCGCTTTCATCCTCGTTCTGCAAAGTTACGAATGATTACGATACTTCCTTTTAAAGCGGCAACAAACCCGAGTATCGCGGACGTCCAGTTTCAATGACGACAAACGTCCTCAAAAATCCTAACAAAATTACTTTCGCGAATTCCATGAGGCGTTCAGACTCGCTTTTGCTCGTTAAATGGCGCAATTTCTCCGTTTTTTTTTAAATTTATGTAAAGTTTAAAAAAGCAGTACAACTATTTAATGTTTTTATGTATTACGATCTGTTGTTACTACACTATAACTTATGATAAAACAAGCATCATTGAAGAAAATCTTTTTCGGTTCTAAAACTTTATGATTCTGTGTAGCGCGAAAAATTGATATTCTTGTATTAATTCATGATTAAATTTCCTCGTGATCCAATTTTCCATTTATTTAAATTAAAATTTAGATACAGTTAATAAATTGCATATGCATATAAAAGGAGCTAAAGGCTGAGAGGAAACTCGAATCTGCAATATGATATAATGCGAACTGTTATCCGGCAGAACAATAGAATATATCTGTACACAAGAGACTGGAAATTTCTATATAAAGTTGCGCCAATTTTAGATAACTTAGAATAGTGTCTTGGGATTTATATTTATCTAGCATTGTTCCTAGATATTTGTGAATCACGACTGTGTATGTTAACTATTAATGAAAAATTCATAATTACATTTTATTCATTAATTCGTTTATTCTATAAACTATTTTTTATCGGTATATTTTAAATGTTGATAACAAATTCAGAGCTATTTAAATAACCTATTAGTTAATTAATTCAAAACTAAATCTTAAACCAAAATCGTATGATATTATTGATTTCTAGAGTTGTTTTTTCAATACGAAAAATCACGGCAACGCATATATTTGCGTGTTTATTAAACAAAACTACGACAGAAATTGCATTCCGTATACATACATTTCGAGAATTACGATATCAATAAATTTTATCCTGCTGTTCAATACGTTAGGGAATAACTTTACGCTTTTACGGCTGCTACTAACGAAGGAGATACCGTTTCGCCGGACGAGCGATAAAAAATTGCAAAGTTCGTGCTTACTTCATAAGTTTCGCCAATTTCAAACAAGAAATGCGCGAATCTAGAAAACGTCCCGTAAAAAATCGCGAAAGCTACTTACGATCTAATGACGCCGCTGCCTCCGCCACCGCTCCTCACTCTTGAAGTAATCTCTTTCTATAGTAGTACAAAGTTGCCGTCGTAGCTATGGGTCGTTGAGGCGACTTTAAAAGTCGTTTTCAAGTATATTATTCATAAACTTTATCGCCGCCGT